CCCTACAGTACCCGGGGCCTGGTGGTGTCACCAAGGCAGAGAGACGCCGCCCAGCCCAGTCTGTCTTTCCCACTGGAAAGCCTGGACTTGGTCTCTGTGGACTGGGAAGGGTGTTCTTGGACAGGAGCCCCTTGAGGGAGCCCCGGCGACCCCCACCGCACCAGCCACGCCCGTCTGCAGGGCTGGGAGCTGGGCAGACAGAGCTGCAGGGCCCACCTCCTCCCCTGACCTCAGTTAAGGCCGGTTAAGCGCTCCCTCCGCCAGGAGCACTCAGGCAGCCTGGGCCTGGTCACCCAAGACTTGGAACATGAGGACAGCGGCTCGCCCACGGGGTCTCCAACAGCGCCCACCCCGAGGCTGCTCCCAGCGACAGGGAGTCAGGCCAGCAAATGCCAGCCTCTTCAGGTGGCCACACACAGGGCCGGGGGCCAGGATGGAAACGTGATCTTGAACGTGGCCTCCGCACCCTTCCTGCACACGGCCCCGAGCTTGCTTCTGACCTACTTGCCGCTCCTCTGGTTCATTCATCCCTGGCCAGTTCCCTGCTGTCACTCAAACGTCTCCTGGGTGTGGCTTCTCTGGCGCTCTGATGGGCCAGTCGTCATACATTAGGATGTGTCCAGATGGCCGCAAGGAATGTCGCAAGGCCTCTTGGCTGTGTGGCCTCAGTTGCCGCCCCTCCAGAATGGGCTCACCCTTGGGCTCTGCACCACGGGGCCTGCCGGTGTGCACTGAGGGCGGTGCTGAGCAGTTGGCTCCACTCCCAGTGCCCCCAGGAGCGCGGCGTCCGCTGTCTCATTCGATGATCACAAAACCCCCCGGGGGGGCAGATACTCCCCAACTTGTCACGTGCACATCCTCGGGTCCCCAGGCCCCCCGCTGCTTCTCCAAACACCGCAATCTCTTTTCCGTGTCCTGGGGGGCACTTCCCGCCGTGAATACTGACATTTCTGTTGGTGCATGTGTTTATTATCAGCTTCCTCTACCCGTGTGAGCTTGCACACCTGTCTCACCGCCTGACTCAGCTCCATGCCCCGACTCCCAGGACAGGCTGGGCCCTGCCTGGCGTCTTCTTCCCACGCCAGGAGCGGGCTCTGTCTCAAGGCAGCTCTAGTACCGCTTCTTTCTTGCCTCCCTTGGGGATGGCCGTCTTCTGTTACTTGATGTCCGCTGTTTGGGGCATTGGGTGTGTTTTGGATGTCTCAGGAGGGAGGGCAGGTCTGGCCCCTGTGCCTCCATCCTGGTGGGAGCTTCCCATGGTGCATCTCTTAGCAGAGAAAGCAGAAGCTGGGATCAACAGAACTGAGCCCGTTGCTCTGTGTGCCAGAGCCGTCCCCTCTACAGGCGCCACAAGTGTTTACTGCAGACCGCCTGGGGACGGCAGGGGCCGCGGCCCCTGAGATGTCTCGGGCCAGCGCCTGCCTTTCTGTCATGTTGCAGAAACCCGGCTGGAGCAGGAGGCGGTGAGAGGGGAGGCAGAGAGCGCCGGCGGCCTCGTTCCTGCCCGGGGCTTGGCATTCTCGCTGCCTGTCTTCCTGTCTGACCACCTGCCTCTCACACATCACCACCCTCACCCCTGAACCACCTTCGCTCCCGTGGACCGACTTCGCCTTGCACATTAGCATATTCGCTTGTCTCATCTCCTGGAGGCCGCCGGCTCCTTGAGCGAGATGACCAGGTCTTCATCAGCTTTGTGCTGAGCCCCGGGGCAGCTGGCGCCAGGCCTTGTGAGAGCACAGCTTGTGTCTAATTCATCTTTGGACTCCCAGCTCCTCGTACACCGCTGGGCACCAGGGATGCTCAGCGTGTCTGTGGTGGACAGATGGACGGACGGACGGATGGACGAGCCCCTTTGGGTTGCCTGCGTCTCATGGCCTGTCTTGGCGCCTGTGAAAAGAGGTACTGGCCACATCCAGGACACAGGAAGGAAATTCAGGACCAGGGCCCCAGCCTTGGCCACTGAGAAAGTCACTTCCTGCTTCTTAGGGTCAGTTTCTGTCCTCTTGTTGAAGTGACACCCCCAAGCCTCCCCCGGCTCCCACATGCTCCAGCTGGCCCAAGCCGGACTAGATAGGGGTGCACCCTCGGAACTCAGTAGCTGGTTTTCTGAGAAAAACCTGGTGTATCTCTTGCCTTGGCTTCACTCTCCTCCCTCGCTTCCCGTCTGTCTGCTGGCCTCCTTGCCCACGGAGTGATCAGTGCCCTGCTGAGCACTGCGGGCGGGGCCCTGGGCAGAACGACAAGGGCGGCTCAGGGCTTTCACTTTCCATTACGTCTGAGAAGGAATCAGCAGAAAATTCTCACTTCATTAACAGAGAAGGGGCGGAGGAGGAGCTGGCACATCCAGGAAGCTGTACCAGCTAGCAGGCGGCTGCCATTTCCCCACCAGGGCCCTCGGTGTGGTCTGTCCGGTGCATTGTCATTAACGGCCACAGCTGCTGGGGTCCCTCCTTGTGGCAACCAAGGACAGCCGTCAGCCCCTTATCTCCAAGTGAGCTCCTGGAGGGCTTACAGCCCCGGCTGAGGCCACACACTGGCGGGGACCTGCCCAGAGCTGTGACAGCCTGAGGCAGTGCCACAGAAGCCAGAGCTGCCCCCCTGGGCAGTGGAAGTGAAGAGGTGCCCATGGGATGGGGGTGGGGGGGCTTGGGTGACCGGGGTTCCTACTCTGCCCGTGCTGGCTTCCGCCGTAGGGAAGCTGGGGGCCCCCATTGGCAGCACTGAGTCTCCCACTTCAGGGACACCCCTGAAGACAAGGACTGGGTTTCGTGTTTCGCCGGGAAAGCGCTGAGCGGGTTCCTGCCGGGGAAGACGAGCATCCGGGGGACCCTGACTCCCCTCGTCGGCCAGCTCTCTCCTGCTCTGAATTCTCCGCTCCGTAGCTTCTCTGTGTCTCTGAACACCTGACACTGCCCTGGCTGCAGTGCTAATTCTGCCTGGCTCGGAGCCCCTCCCCACGCCCCCTCCCCGGGGACCTTGCCCTCGTTAATGGGGTCTGAGCGCCCACCCGTTCCCTGGGAAGAACCGATGGCTTCCTGGATCTCCTAGTCTGGCTGCAACAATCGGGTACCACTTCAGGAGCCACGACCTTCTCCATCTTCTCTCCTTCCTTCTGCACAGTGAGACCGCGGCACAGGCACCCAGTGAGTCAGGCACTCCCGCAGGGCCAGGAATCCCACCCCCAAGGGTTTATCTGGGACAGAGAGGAAAGCACACCTACACCAAGGCGTGGGGGATGTGTTCACAGCGGCTTTGCTCACGGTCGCCCGAACCTGGACACAGCCCGGTGTGCACCTGCGGGGACCAGACTGGCACCGGATGCCGCTCAGCAGTAAGAAGGAAGGAACCACTGAACCACGCACTGACCTGGGTGAACTCAAAATCACTGTGCTGGCTAAAGGAAGCCAGGAAGCAGAGCGCACACTCGCAATTCCATTTAGGAGACGTCAGGACCCAGCAGTCTGATCCACGGCTTCAGAAATCAGAACAGTGGTTGCCTCTAGGGTGGGTTTTTTTTTTTTTTAAGGTTTGCTTTCCTAGTGCTCTCGAACTACTTGTGTCCTTTATTAAATTCGTTTTCCCATTTTTATTTAGTTTCATTTTTATTTGACAGTGAAAGAGAGAGATTGTTCATACCCTGGTTCACTCCCCAAATGGCCAAAGCAGCCTGGGCTGGGCCAAGCCAAAGTCAGGACCTGGAACTCCACCGAGGCCTCCCATGGGGGCGAAGGGGACCCAGGTTCCTTCCCGGGATGTGCGTTCGCAGGCAGATGGATATGAAGTGCAGCAGCCGGGTCTCTATAATCCGGCACCCTGATGAGGGAGGCAGGAGCCCCAGACGGTGAACGTGACCGCTGTGCCAAACACGCCCCAGGCTGGGATTGCTGAGAAGAGGCACAGGGAACCCTTCCAGGACTTGGAAACGTTTTGTCACAACAGAGGTGTGGTGTCCACGTTTGTCAAAGCAGATCAGACAGAACAGCAGATGGGTGCACCTCACTGACGTCAGTCAGTCCTTGGAGATTACGATAATAAGGAAGCCATTCATGGTACCCTTTGGGAGGTCATCCCTCAAGGGGCCTGCTACTGAGTGCACAGAGACCAGGGCGTAGTTGGGACCCTGTTGTATATATTCACATCTGAATGACCTGCCCAAAGCCACTGCTGTCTGTCCATCACCGCTGCTTCCTCCCTCCCTCAACTCCCCCCCCCCCACACACAAATTCCTTTCACAGTTCTGGGCACGGTGGTGTCCAGGCTGCACTGTGGGAACCTGGGCCTCTTCCTGGGGTGGGGGGGGGTCACTGGGCTGCATCTACACCTCTGCTTCAGGTACACCCAACACAGCGTGGACCAAGGCGAGGAGGACAAGTTCAACCCCAGGCTCCCCGTGAATTCAGTAACCAAGGGAGGGGCTGGGGGCAGCCAGGGGCAGCCTCATTGTCAGAGACACACTTCTCCAAATTTCGGCCGTGCCCACAACAAGCTGAGATGGCCACGGGTGCCCACCACATGGGCAGCTCCCAAGAAGGGAGAGAGCCGCCTCTTGCGAGAAATTAGCTTAAGAGCCGGAGCCCGACCTGCCTCCCCTCCCTCCTCCCTCCTCCCTCCCACAGTGTCCCCTGTGAGCCCTGCTGCCCACCCCCACCTGCGCAGGAACCGGATCTAATGCCTCGACTGAGAGGATGAAATGCTCTGTTATTTTTCATGGGGAATTAGACCTGACCCTGCTGGCCGCTAGCTCATGCCAAGAGAGGATGGATGGCCGGGGCCCGGCGCTTAACCCCTGTTCTGAGCACGCCAGGCCTGGCTGGAGGCTCTAGGGGGAGCAGCCTGGCTGGGGGCCAGCCATGACGTCACCTGCTGTGGGTGGGGGTGGGGACGGCAGGGAAGGTCAGACAGGCTTCAGCCGTGATGGATGGCGGTGTCTGTCACGGCCGACAGTCCCACCTGCACGGCGAGCTCGTCCGGGGACACTCAGGCTGCTCTGTGTCTTTCAGCTCCCAACTCTACCTCGTGCCCGGCCGAGGAGAGCTGGTGGTCGGGGCTGGTGATCGTCATCGCCGTGTGCTGTGCCTCGCTGGTGTTTCTGACCGTGCTGGTCGTCATTTGCTACAAAGCCATCAAAAGGTGAGTGCCCGCCCCCCGCACCAGCTCTGAGCGCTGCCGGGCTCCCCCAGCTGGCCTCGGGGCTCTGCTGCCCCCCTGGGCCGGCAGTGCCTGTAGATTTGGGTAAGGACCGCTGAGCACTTCGGGAGCAGCAAGCAGGCCTGGGGAGCCGCCATCCGCGCTCAGCCCAGGACAGCGGCTCCGAGATGCCGCCGTGTTGGCTGCGTTGATTTCTTCTTTGCTTCCCTTCTCGTCCTCTTTGCTGGACTGGTTCAAAGCTCCTTTCAGACATGAAGCCCCATCGTTTTTAGGAGTTTGATTCCACACACATTTGCTGAGCACCAGTTGCATGTCAGGCCCAGTGCAGCACACACACACACACACACAAATTAAAATGTCGCAACCCTCCAAAGGATACCAGGACTTGTTAACAACACAATGTCTCAAGAATTTTTTTTTTAATTCCCTGGGGTCTGAAGTCAACAGGTCCACATTGAGAACAATCAAGCACTTGGAATATTTAACATTACTCTTTTAATTTCATTTGCATAATTCAAAAGCAGAAAGAGTAAAGTCACAAGTGTGGATCAGGCACAGGGGATGAAGGGCTGTGAAAAGTCAACAGCCCGAGCGCGTCCTGAAGCCTGGGAGAGGACACAGGGCGCCTGGGGTCGGGGCCTGGGGGTGACAGTGTCACCCAGGACCGGCCCTACCCTGAGCCTGTGCTGCCCCGCCCAGAGCCCTCTGTGCTCCCGAGACTCACACTGCAGACAGTCTCCATAAACAGAGACAAAGGAGCAGGGCACGGCTGTCTAGGGCAGCGCCTGGGCTGCCCCGGGCTCAGATCTGCCCGTCTTCCCTGAGCCATCCCTGAGTTGACTCCATTCTGCAGACGAGGAAACTGAGTCCCTAAGGAGTTAGGGAGCTGCCCAGAGTGACACCATCAGGGACCAGCAGAGTCTGATCGGAGCCCTGGATGGGGAGATGGCCACGCCAGCCCTGAAGGCGGCCCCGTGTCACCCACGTTGGCTGCTTGCTGGGCAGAGGGCAGACCTGGCCGTTCCCGGCTGCCCGGTCTCGGGTGTGCATATGGGGACTGTGGTGAGACGTGACTGTGCCCATCTGAGACCAGCTGACAGGCAGAGAGGCACTGAGTGGGAGTGATTTGTGGGTGCCAGACCCCCTCCCCGGGTAGGGCCCGATCCATCGACGGCAGAGGTGGCGGAGGTTGCGGAGGTCAGTGGCAGCAGGTGGCAGCCCGTCGTGGGCACCCAGAGGGGTCGCGGTGAATTCTGCTGTGGATCACACAGTACTTGAGCTGAGAGCTGGGGTCCCGGCGGTTGGGGGGTTCCGGGCAGTGCAAGGGAGGATGCCCGACAGCAGCACCTGTGTGGGGCTGCACGGGCTCTCTCCCCAGGCTGAGCGGTTGATGGTTGAGGAGGCGCTGGGGCTATTGAAGATGCCTGAGGAGGAGCCTGCTCCACCTGGGCGTGGCTGCCAGCCCCAGGCATCAGCATCAGCGGTCCTTACAAAAGTCACCCGGGGCCACCTGTGCCTGCCCACCTGTGCCTGCCCCCACCGGAGCTGGGAAGGGCGCTGCTCCAGGGGACAAAGTCTCAGCTCTCACTGGCTGCCGCCCCGCCCCTCAGGGCTTTGAGAGAAGCAGCCTACCGCCCAGGGAGTGGGGGGCAGGCACTTCCAGTGCAGGCAGGGCACCTTTCTGGGGTGGGGGGCATGGGGGGGCTTCCCCCCCCAGAAATGTGGCCCACCGAAGGGCTCAGCACCCCTAGCACAGGAGGCCAGGCAGGGGGAAGAAAGGCACGGTGGGGAGCTGGTGAGAGGGGCTGCACCAGGAGCTGTGGTTGTTAGCTGTACGGTGGTTGCAGGTGCAGCCCGGACAGGAGGGTGGGGAGGAAATGCCCAACCCCTGGGCCAAACCAGAGACTGGGGGAGCAGGGAGGGAGCCAGCAGTGCAGAGAGGAACAGGCCCTGACCGCAGGAGTGCCCCCGGGGACCGGTGGAGGCAGACACAGCCCTGCCTGGCCCTGCAGCTCTCCCCAGAATAAGTCCAAGCTTTCTCGCTCACGGCCGATGCCATTTGGTCAGCAGTCCTTTGGAAACGTGCCTTTTCTCTCCAAAACAAAAGCAGCCCACAGCACTGCAAAACCATCCGGAGGGAAATCCAGCGATAAACCCCGCTTTTAAAACAGAGCCTCTTACAGTCTCCAGGCTTCCGGGAGGACTTTCCCGGGGTCTCTGAATGTCCCCAACACCACCCTGCCCCGGTCACAGTGGCAGCCCTGCTGCTAGTGAGGGCGCTCCGTGTGTCCCTAGCGGAGGAATTGGGCCAAGGGAGGTTTCTTGAGAGAGGGCAGGTGACCAAGGTGCACCTCACTTCCTGGCTGCCTGTCCTCTCCACCCTCCGCACTGCTGTCTGGTGTCCCCATCAAGTCTCAGCATAAGGTCCCCTCCAGCCCTGGGGCCTCAGGGTGGCAGGTACCAGACCCCCACTGAGATGGCTGCTGTCTGGGCTGCCCCTGCCCACAGACCCTCCCTCAGGGGTCTCCACCCCCCAGCAGCTCAGGAGCGTAAGTGGCAGACCCCAAGACTGAGCCAGTTTGGACAAGTCCCTGTCTGGGCCCTGTGCTTAACCCTCAGACCTTCCTCCAACAACCCAGACAGAACACACACGGCTGCGGGGCCCTGTGCCTCTGCTGCAGCGGGTGGCGGGGGCCAGGTGTTGTCTCCTGCACAAGAAGGAATTCAAGGACCAGACACAGGTAAAGGTCAGCAGGGAAGCAGGTTTATCTGCACACAAAGTGTTCACCCTGGAAGGAGGGCGGCCATGCCCTGGAGAGAGCTGCACTGTCCGAGGCTCAGGGCTGTCCGTTTATATCATCTGGGGGCACGGAGGGTTGAGTCAGCAGTGTGTTTGGTTGAATATTCATAAGGGGTGGGCTCAAATACTACTACCCATCCCTTACTCTATTTTGGAGGTCTCAGAAGTGTCATGGCGTCAGGTGCATGATGGGAGTAGGAGTGTCAGCCATGGTAATTTTATTATAATGACATGATAATGAGCTTGGGAGGCTGGTGGCAGCCTGGTTGGGCATTTTCGGCCAGTGCTGGTTCTGAGTACCAGTTTCCTGGAAGCTGCAGTTGTCTGCTGCCTGGGAAGGGGGCGATTTGGGCAGTGCGGGTGGGGGCTGCAGCCCAGGCAGGGGGGGCCAGTGGCCGCAGCTTCTCCTCGCTGGTGACCTGTGTCACCTCCGAGCTCGCAGCTCCCAAGGAGGTTGCGAGGAGCTGCCAGGGAGGAAGTTGGAGACGCAGGCACAGGTGGTGACTGAACAAGGAGACCAGGGCCCTGGGCAGAGCGCGTGGCCACGTGCCTGACCACTGCCACCTGGTCCTGGAGGGAGAGGGCTGGGGGCCGGAAATTGGGCCACGGCTTCTCACAGTGGCACCATCAGTGGTCAGAAAGTTTTTCTCTGGCTCCTCACCAAGTCTGGAGAAGGCTGCATTCTTAAGGGGACCCTCACTGTGAAACTGTGTGTGTGGGCTCATGTGCGTGTGTGGGGGTTCATGTGCATATGTGTGGGTTTATGTGCGTGTGTGTGGGTGTGTGTGGGCTCCCATGCGTGTGTGTGTGGGTTCATATGCTTGTGTGTACATGTGTGTGGGCTCACGTGTGTGTGTGTGGGTTCATGTGCGTGTGTGTGGGTTCATGTGTGTGTGTGTGGGTGTGTGTGGGCTCACGTGCGTGTGTGTGCGTGTGTGGGGGTTCATGTGCATGTGTGTGGGTGTGTGTGGGTTCATGTGCGTGTGTGGGGGTTCATGTGCATGTGTGTGGGTGTGTGTGGGCTCACGTGCGTGTGTGTGCATGTGTGGGGGTTCATGTGCATGTGTGTGGGTGTGTGTGAGCTCACATGCGTGTGGGGGGGTTTATGTGCGTGTGTGTGGGTGTGTGTGGGCTCACGTGCGTGTGTGTGTGGGTTCATATGCTTGTGTGTACGTGTGTGTGGGCTCACATGTGTGTGGGTGTGGGTTCATGTGCGTGTGTGTGGGCTCACATGCATGTGTGTGGGTGTGTGTGGGGGGGTTCATGTGCATGTGAGTGTGTGTGGATTCATGTGCGTGTGTGGGTTTACATGTGTGTGTGTGGGTATGAGTTCATGTGTGTGTGTGTGGGCTCACGTGCATGTGTGTGGGTGTGGGTTCATGTGTGTGTCTGTGGGCTCACATGCATGTGTGTGGTTTCACATGTGTGTGGGGGTTCACATGCATGTGGGGGTTCACATACGTGTGTGCAGGTGTGTAAATGTGTAGTCGTGTGGTATGTAATGACATTTCAATGACAGGCCGTGTACTTGGCATGTGAGAGGGTTTCACCTGGTGATGCTGTACTCTGTGACATTTGCACAACGATGGGCTCACCCGATGGCACCTTCCTTAGGTGTGCCGACCTCATGCAGTGAAATGTGGCTGTGTATAGGGAGGTCTGGGGGTGAGGTGTGCGTGTGTGTGTGCGCTGTGTATTTGCACATGAGTTGTGTGTATGGGTTAGGTGATGTATAGGCGTGTATATGCATGTGTGTTGGGCGTGTGCATGTTTGTGCATGTGTGTGTGTGCGTTATGTATTTGCACATGTGTTGTTTGGGTTAAGTGTTATATAGGGGTGTATATGCGTGTGTGTGTGTGTGTGTGTGTGTGTCTGGGGTGTGGGTGCGTCAGGGCGGGTAGTGAGGAGGACGAATGCCGTTGGTTGAGAAGAGTCGGGGCCTTTGGCCGTCCCGTGGCTGACGGCAGCCCTCCCCCCCAGCACGTGGGGCAGCCGGGCGGCTGGCAGCCCTCCCTCCTCCGGCTCCTCAGGCGGTTCTCCGCCCGTGGCTCCGCCAGCAGAGCCGCAGCTGAGGACGTAAGCTGTCACATCACTGTCAGCCAGGCCCAGAGGGGTGCCCCGGCCTTGGCCCTGCCTGTCCAGCCAGCAATGCCGGTTTAGGCTCGGTCCCTGCACTAGCAGAGAGAGAACCTGCTGCTTGCCTCGCCCACCCGCCCGCGGGTGGGAGTCCTGGGAGGGGCCGCGTTCCTGCAGATGAGAATCCTGGGCACAGCCACGGAGAGGCTCACCTACCTTTCTCTTGGTTTTAGGAACCAGGCCATTTAGGCGCCCTCGGTGGCCACGAGGGCCGGGACTGGGGTGGAAGGGCTCTCCGTGGCTTCACGGGACCACAGCCACGGAGCCAGGCTGGGGCCCGCAGCACTACCGTTTCTGAAGCTCACAGGCACGTGTTAGGTAGGAATTCTAACACGGCAGAGCCTGGCTGCCAGGGTAGTGGAGCAGCTCCCACGGACCCCTCGGCAGCAGCAGCGCTGAGAGCTGCCAGCACTTACTGGGTGCTTACTGTATGCCCGACACTCGACTAAGCGCTTGACCCATATTAACATGTCTAATCCCCCCAGCAAGCTTATGGAATGGACACTGGTATTGTGCCCATTTTATAGGCAAGGAAACTGAGGCATAGAAACGTTATGTGGCTTGCCCAAGGTTTCATAGCCAGAAAGTGGCAGAGGCCACTTTAGCTGAGCTGTGACACCTGCCTCCTAGCTCGGGGCAGGGTCTCCCTGAAGGCAGTGCCTGTGCAGGGATGCGGGTGGGTGTGCAGGGGGAGGCACCTCCCGCTCTCAGCACTATCTGAGCTTGGTGCAGCCCAGGGAGGCTTTGGGAGGGGGTGAGCTGCTGTGCAGGGAGCAGAGTGGTTGGGGACCCAGCTGTGCTGGGGGAGGGGAGCACTCCCTGTCCTCATCTCGGGGAGCCCTTGGGACAGGGCACATTGCACACAGCCCAAGGCACCTTTGCTGGGAGGAGCCCTGCCTGGACCCCCGCTGGCTCTCGGGTCCAGAAGCTGGAGCAGCCTAGGAGGCACCAGGACCACTGGCTTCCACACTTCGGAGCCACCCCTTCCAGTAGGCCTCCCCAGGAGTCCCCCGGAGGGGTCTGACAGCAGCCTAGCTTTTAGGACCTTCCTTCTTTTGCAAAGCAAATCCTGCTGTCTTCTCCCTCCCTCTTTCCCCTCAAAAGAGCAGAAATGTTGGTCCTCCAGGACTTGCCCCTCTAGAGGGGAGCTCGCGCCCCCTTCGGTTCCTCTCTGCCCTCTCCTGCACCTGCTGACCCCGCCCCACCTGCACCTGCTGTGGTGGGTTTTCCAGACTACACCCAAGGTTGAATGTTGACCCCGCAGGAGTGCTGCGTGGGCTTGGGCCCTGAGTGTTTAGCTGTTGAGAGTCTCTGGTGTCCTGGTGCTGATGTCCGTTCTGCCCCTGAATATCGATGGTAAAAGCAGGAATCCCACCCCAGTCCCTCGGCCTCGTGGTGGGGCAGCGACAGGACCTCGCAGTAAGGAGAAGCCCCCGCCCCAGCCTCCCAGGCTCTGCAGATCCTCATCCACGCCCACCCAGCAACGTCAAGCGGCCTGAGCTCTCTGGGAAGGCGGGGGGGGGGGGGGGGGACAGGCAGGGGGCTGCAGGGGACCGAGGGTGAGGAGGGCTGGGGCAGAGAGCTGGGCTGCAGAATCCATCATTTCCCAGCCCGTCTACGGGGAAGCGTCTGGGTGGGCCTCTTGGACCCCACACAGATGGGTGATGGGCGGGATTAGAGAGAATGGGGCAGGCGCTGCAGGATTTCCAGAGCTTAGCTGTGGGGGTTGGGCGGTGAGCAGTGCTGCTTTGAAGGTAGCAGGTGGGACCAGGACACAGTGGTGGGAGCCCCCCACAAACCAGCCGGGGGTCCTTGGGCAAGTCATAGCCTCCCTAAGCCTCCGCTTCCCTGTGAAAGGAACCTCCTAACCCCAGGCCCAGCTTCCTGGGGGGACCACTGGGACCGTGCCCTGCACCTCTGTCCAGAAGATGTCATGGTGGTGGGCGTGGCCACCCCAGTGCGTGCCCTCGGGGTTCCGCTCCCCCATTCTGTGTGTCTACGCTTGTGCCGTCAGAGGAAAGAGTTAACAGACCCTCGGCAGGCCTGGTGGTCCCAACCGTGAAACTGCTGATCCTTCCCCCGCCCTCCCCAACTAACGCAGACAAGGCTTTCTCCCACGCGCCGCACACGTGCCGTCAAGGAGGACTGGAAATGCCCATGGCCCGTGGGCAGCGGGCGCCCCCCAGGGACAGCAGTGTGGGGCGTGGCGTTGGGGGGCACAGAGTGCTCGGCGCAGACCAGGGCGCCGCAGCCCCTCGCCCGGGGCCCGGGGAGGCCTTGGATCTGACCTGGCCCGGAAGTAACTCTGTGGTTGCAGGCCCTCCCAGCCTCATCACCCTCTGTGCACCGCAGGGAGGGCTCTTGGGGTGACGTGGCCTCTGGGGTGAGCTTCAAATGGCCAAGGCGAAGTGTCCCAGAACTACTGGGTGTGCTCACCTTGGGGGCCCTCACCACCACCGTCAGCCTCCATCACTGCCGCCATCCACCCAACCATCACCACCACCATCACCATCACCACCACCATCACAGCCCAACCATCACCATCACCACCACCATCACAGCCCAACCATCACCATCACCGTCACCAGCTCCACCCCATCACCACCCTTCACTACCACCACCAGCATCACCACCTCCATCACTGCCCAACCATCACCATCACCACCACCATCACAGCCCAACCGTCACCACCGCCATCACCACCTCCATCACTGCCTAACCATCACCACCACCGTCAGCCTCCATCACTGCCGCTGTCCACCCAACCATCACCACCACCACCACCACCATCACCACCCCATCACTGCCCAACCATCACCACCACCACCCATCACCACCACCATCACCATCACCACCTCCACTCCATCACCACCCAACCATCACCACCACCATCACCTCTACCCCATCGCTGCCTAACCATCACCATCACCATCAACCTCCACCCCATCACCACCCAACCATCACCACCACCACCACCATCATAGCCCAACCATCACCACCACCATCACCTCTACCCCATCACTGCCCAACCATCACCACCACCATCACCATCACCACCTCCATCACTGCCCAACCATCACCACCACCATCACCATCACCACCACCATCACCACCTCCATCACCACCCAACCATCACCATCACCATCACCGCCCAACCATCACCACCGCTGTCGACCACGCCTTGTCCACTGCCGTCACTGTCATTAACACCACCACCGGCACTGCCACCGTGCCCTGTCCCATCACTGTGACACCACTGCCGCCACCGTGCCCACCTTTCCCACTGTCGGCATCGCCATGGACACCAGTCCCTCTACCACGGTGCCAGCGTGATCGCCCTCCCTCGCCTTCATCGCGTTTTCCGTCCGTCTTTGACCACACAAAGGCGAGGCCAGAAAACACCCCCACTAGTGCCCCACTTCCCTTCACCACGTACACCCCCAGATAGTCCGCTCCCTGCCTGCCTGCCCACCTCAAGGGGCTCACTTAGAGCCGGATCTTAGGAGGCTGACCGGACACTGGTGCACGCAGACCAGTCACAGGTCACGGCTGCTGCCCGTGGCTCTGTTCCCGTGTCCCTCTGCCACAGTCCCCTGTGTCCTGGTTCTCCTGGAGATTGCGTGGCCATCCTGGACAAGGTCACCCCAGCCTCTGACTGACCCCCAAGGACCAGCAAGAGCCCCAAGGCCGCTCACCCTGGGCACGCCTGGTGGGCTTCCTTCTGGGGCTCTTGCTCTGGCGGGGTGTGGAAGCCAGCCGGGAGGCCACCCCCTGGCCAGCCCCGGAACTAACGGTGTCCCTGCTCCCTCCCCCTCGCCCTGCCTGCTCCTGGGCGCCTTCCAGGAAACCACTGAGAAAAGACGAGAACGGCACCAGCGCTGCAGAGTACCCCATGAGCTCACAGAGCAGCAAAGGGGTGGACGTGAACAACGCCGTGGTCTGAGTCTGCGGCTCCGGCACCGCTGGCCGGAGGGGCGGCGTGGTGGCACCAGCGGACACGGGAAAGCAGGTGGACTTGAGCTGACCCTGGGCTTGTCCAGGACTTCGTGGAGGAACCGTCTTCCCAGGCTCGCCCTGGTCGCCTGTGGGCAGGGGCGGCGCCCACACCAGGCTGAGCCCAGTTCCCCTGCATGCCCCACGCCCCACCTTGTCCACGTCTGATCCTACGCCTGTCCTCGCAGCTGCTGTCTGAAGCCTGGCTCTGGTGAAGGCAGGAAGCCCCTCTGCCTGCTGGAGCCGGGCATCCCAGGCAGCCAACAGGAAGCCCGCCCGGGGCTCCCTCCCCTGCCTGGAAGCCTGTCCTCCTCCAAGAAGCCCACCTGCTTCCCAGTCGGTGTTCCCAACAAAAGCCATTGGCACAGCCACGAGACAGACACCCCCTTCAAAGGTGCTCCCCACACATCTGCCGTCACCCACCCCATCCGCTGCAGGGCCCGCCTCCTCCTCTCGTCCCTACCCACGCCCCGGCGGCCCTTGGCTCCAGAGCCTGCAAACCGCCCCCCTCCCACCCCAGCAGACCAAGGGACTCTGTTCACCGAACCCTGGCCAAGGGTGGCCCTGGAGGGGCAGAGCCCGAGGCCCCCTGCCTGTCCTGCCCATTTCCACCCTGACCCCGGAGGAAGCTGTGCATCCACACGAGCCAGGCCCTGGAGGCCACCACCTGTGCCAAATCCACCGGGACCCTCGGTGCCAGCCCCACCGGCCCCGCACTTCCTCCCCACCAGGGCTCCCTGAGGCCTGGCGGTGGTCCTCAGCCCCTCTCCCCAGAGGGAGGTGGGGCGCTTCCCCTTGGACCAGGAAGTGTCTCTCAGGAGTGGGGGGAGGAAGGGAGGGCCTGAGCCCCTGAGCCCCTGTTCCCTGCGGGCAGGCCCGGCCCTGGGGTTTTGTGGGCCCTGCCCTGGGACTGCCCTCACCACCCCACACCCTTGATGGGGAGGAACCTGACACGCTGAATCATGGTGCTTGGTGCGCTGTGGGGGCTCCGCCAGGTGGGCCCGGGGTTGGGGGGAGGGGCTCCTCGGGCAGGGGTGGGGCTGCAGGTGAGACTCCAATCCCGGCGAAATGGAGGCTGGAAAAGCACCCCACCGGGCTGAGTCTCCAGACGCCGACACTGCTGGGTCCTAGTGCCCAGAGCTGTCCGTGTGCGCTCCCTGCGGCCAGGCCAGGCCAGCGTGCGTCCTCCTGTGAAGGGGCTTGTCTCCTCGTCGCTCTTCTGCTGTCTGAGGACTTCTCTGAGGCTTGAACCTGAGTTCCTCTCCCAGCCCACCTCAGCGTTGCCCCCCCCTCCCCCGACAGCCCTGGTGGGGGGCGCTCTGCTCCGCCCCTCCCCCCCACCCTGGTGAGTTGTGCTGTCAGATGCAGCACCAAGCAACACGCAAGCCAGGGGCTGTGGGCAGGGTGGGGTGGGGGTGCGGTGCCCCACCCCAGGGCACCCCCACACCCATGTCCTCAGCCCCCTGGTGCCTGTGAGCCCCCTGCCTATGCCCTAAGCAGATACCTGGGCAGGACCCCGCCCCTAATCACACTCCCACCCTGGGCTTCTCCCGCTGCCTGGGGCTGGCCAGAGTTCAGGGGTCCTCTAAGGGACCCCAGTTGGGAGGGGCAGCCCCAGGGGGACTGGGGCCCACACATTCCCCTGCCCACCCCAGCCCCCAATACTTCCATCCCTGGCTGCACCTTGGGGCCCAGACGCTGCAACGGGCCTCAGCCTCCAGACCAGGTGGAAAACCCCAGCCGTGCCATCCACCAAGCTTTGGGGCTGCACCCTGTTCCCGAGCCACGGACACTCCAACTGACACGGAAGCTCTCCCTGTGGGCTTGGAAAACCCCTACTCACCCATAGGAAACCCACTGGAGAGCACCCCACCCCCACCCCGCCAGCCCCAGGGCAGCCACGGAAGCTCAGCTCAGGCCCAGGGCGAGAGGCCCAGCAGACTCTCAGCTTCCAGAACCCACGCACACACAAAACCACGAGGACCTAGAATGTGAGCTTAGGACTTGGAAACGAACCCCAGCCCCTAAACACGGATCCATGCTCCGATCAGCTCAAGGTCAAGAATGAAAGGCACGTCCCTTCTCTGCGTTTTCTCCCTGCCGTCTCAGAGTTGACCTTGGCTTCGGAACTCAGTGGTGTATGGGGTGCCCAGGGTGTTCAGGTGTTCTTGGGAAGCGTGTAAGAGAAGTTTTGGAAGACTGATAGGTGTAAAAATATAGACGTATATTATATATAGTTATATATATTTAAAGAGATCTCTATATCTATAGAATTATTGTGCGCTCTGCATCTGTACTAAGTGTGGCTTACACAGCCCTGGTAGGGCGAGGCCCGGAATGCATGGGCGTAAGCGCCCCGAGACCTTGTGCACGGGACAAGACAGGAGCCACGGGTCAATGCCGTCTCGACGCCGTCTGGTTGGCCGGCGCATCATTCATGTCGGTTTCGTGCACACGCGGGGCCGGCAGTGGGGAATGTGCCGTTGCTCCTGCTTACACAGAAGAAAGCACCGTGACTTTTTTATTTTCAATAAAAATATCCTTATAAGATGGCCACCGGTTGTCGTTTGTGGTGGGTGTTTGGCCCTGGGCATGGGGTGGACTGGAGAGGGCAGGCCAGGGTGGGGGCGGGGTCCTTCACTGAGGTCCTGCCTCAAATCCAGGGCGGGGCTGGACACCTCGTGTGCATTTTTTTTGTAAAAGATGTATTTGTTTATTTGAAAGAGTTATAGAGAAAGAGATTGGGAGAGAGAAAGGTCTTCCATCCACTGGTTCACTCTCCAGATGGCTACAATGGCCAGGGCTGGGCCATCTTCCACTGCTTTCCCAGGCACATTAGCAGGGAGCTGGACTGGATGTGGAGCAGATGGGACTTGAACTGGTGCCCATATGGGATGCCGGTGTTGCGGGTGGTGGCTGTGCCTCCCTATGTCACAATGCCAGCCAGCCCTGATGTGCTGTGTGCACTCTCTGTGTTGTTACCCTAACACCTCCAGGGCAGTGTTCATAGGGGTTCAAAGGCCAATCACGCCCCTCTACCCACCTCCTCAATCCTGGGCTTCCCTGAGGGGCGAGCAGCTGAATGAGACTCAGAACCCAGGACTTTCGGGGCTAGAACCAGAAAGGTTCAGGCACACGAGACCTTAAGTTGCACCCTAATTTGACAAGTGCTCATGAGAATCGTGAGAACAGGAATTGGCCGTCCACGCTGGAGGGGAAGCTAGGTAGGCCTGTGGCCAGCATCACCACCTGCCAGCGCCTCCATCCTGGTGTGGACCTCTGCGGTACCCACTCACCCACCAGGTGCCTGAGGTCGTGGCCTACCTTACACCCCCAGCAGGGGGCCCCAGAGAGCACAGGCCCGTCCTGCCTGACCATTCTCTCCCAGCCCCATGGGCAGACAGGTCAGCAGCCATCCTTCCCGGGGCTTCAGGAAGGGGCACCTGTCCGATGGGCCGAGAGGGACCCAGGAGGAAAGCTCTTGCCTCTGCGGTGCTGTGTCCTCACCTTGCGCGTGTGGGGACGGTCAGAGGCAGAGCACCAGCCAAGGTCACACAGACACCAGGATATAGGGGCGGGGCTGGGGTCAGACCCAGAGCTGGGTGCCTTCAGGCCTGGCTGTTGGGCATGCGTGGGGTGACCCCAACCCAGACGGTTTCCCTGTGGCTGGGACATGGCCGCGGAGGAGCTCAACAAGGGGCCACCAAGGGGACCTTCAGTGCCCAGGACTGGGAGGTGGGTGTCTCCCCCAGCCTGGTCACAGCCCGGGGCCCTGGGCAAGGGCCTGCGTCACACCCAGACGTCCGCAGAAGCTCCCCCTGAGAGCCTGGAAACACCCACCGCCACCTGGAACCCTCCACCCCCTGTTGGTGCACCCGATCCCCCCCCCCTTTGCCCAGGCCTTCCTGCTGCCCTCCCTGTTCCAGAACGCACGCTGAGAAATTGTCTGGCAACCCCCCTGCCCCACACCTGACACCCACCGCCCTCCCCCGGACAGGGTGCCCCATCTGCCCTTTGTGTGGGGCAGACCCCATCTCCCCACTCCTCTTCCACCCTGTGCTGGAGGAGCGGCAGCCCCCGCCCCGCCTCCTCCTCCACATCCCCCCGCCCCAGCGTTCCGGAGCAAGTGTCCCTGGGCTCCTCACCTCGGCCCCACATCATGTGTTCACACATGCGTGTGGTCATTCTTCCCCTGCATATGAACAGAGACTCTGCCAACTGCCGGGTGCCACCCTCAGCTCCGGAGGGCAACTTTCCCCACCCACAGTCCCCACTGGAACCCTCCGGGGTCCCCAGCCCCTGGACCACGGTGGGGCCCGCCTTGGCCCTCCAGCCTGGCCTCCAGCCCCACGTCCGCCTGCTCACGCTCCCTGCACTGTCCACGCCGTGTCTAGTCCCGACCTCCAGCTGCCCTCCCCGACCTGCACGCCCCCTGCTCCCCAGCTCAGCAGTACACGGCTGGCCGCGGGCCTCCTGGCCAGCCCCACTCCCGCGCGGGGCTTGCTGTCCCGGCCCAGCCGGCCTCTCTCCGCCTTCTGCATGGTCACATCTTCTTGCTCTCCAGGTCCGTCTCTGAGGTCGCCTCCACCCTGAACCCACGTGAGCACAAACCCACACGGGCACAGAGCCTGCACCGGGCGGCGTCTAGGGCCCTGCTGGCACAGCTCCCAAGTTCCGCCCTCTGCTGTCTGAACCTGTTGGCCCCTCGACAGCCCTGGCCCACTCACACTCTAGACAGGACGCACGGTGTATCCTGGGGATCCAGAGAGGACCAGGATGGCCTTGCTTTCCGGGAGCCAGGGGGTGGTGGCAGTGGCCCCGTGACGTGCACAGAGGAGACACCAGCGTGGAGATGAAGGGGCGTTCAGTGCCAGCTTCCCAGGGCTCCTAAACCCTGCCTTTCAGCAGGGAGGCACAGACATCACCCCACTTTACAGATCAGAAAACTGAGGTTCGGAGGTCAGGGGTCACAAGAGCAGCAGGTGGCAGAGGTCTTCAGGCCTGGCTCTCTGTGAGCACAACGCTGACAGCACCTCAGGTTCCACTCCGGCCGGCCCAGCTGGGTTTGCGCCCAGCCGTTTTCTCACCACTGGGGAAGCAAACACAGCGCACAGCCCTCCTAGCGGCTGGGAGCTGGCGGTGCGGTGCACAGTCTAACCAGGACCACTTAGCATGGGGCCGCCGGCTAGGCTCTTCCCTGGCACAGCCTCAGTGCTCTCAGCTGTAAAATGGGGGCAGCAAACCCAGCAGGCGCCCCCCGCCCCCTGCCCCGATCGCCACCTCGGAGCTTTCTTTGGCCACCTGCAGGCCCTCTCGACTCTGTCACCTTACTTTCAGCACAACACTTCCCACACCTAAGACCTGGGTGGGTGTTTACCATCTTTCTCTTCAGTGTTTGGTCTTGTTACCAAATCTCTAGCCCTCCATACAACCAGACTTGCCTGGCACAGGAAACCTCTGCTGAATTGAGTTTCAGTGGGCGAGAAATCCAGGCAGAACACACAGGCACAAAGATAAGACTTTAGGGAAAACAAAGCACTTTATTGCACAGAACCGGAACCCCACCTCCCAGGTGCGTGCAGAGGAAGGGGTGGGGGGTGGGAGAACCTGAACTTGAAGCTGCTGAGTAGTTCGCCCGGCTGGTCTCACTGGTCCCTTTGGTATGACTCCGTTTCTTGCCGACAGGTGCTCAGTCTTTGAGGCGTCTTCCCAGGGACCTGTTCCCCTCTGGGAAGCACCTGCCCGGGGCCCTGGGTGGGAGTCCACGGTCTCTGCTGCGGGCCAAGCGTCGGCTTCAGGGTTCCTGCAGGTCCCTGCTCCAGAGGGTTTGGCTGGACTCTCCCTGGTGACCGTGGGCTGCGGCCGGGCTCTTCTGGTTGTTGCGGGTGAGTGGCCGTCGCCCACGCCAGCCAATGCCCGGGCTGGAGCCATCTCGCCATCCCAGCTGAGCACCTGCCCGTCTTCCTGCTCTGGGCAGCAGGCCTGTGGGCCTGTGCGCTCACTCACGTGAGGGCTGATGAGCCTGTCTCCTGGGGGTCCCTGGCGCACCTCCCAAAGGGACGGTGAAGCCCCCTTTGTCTTTTGCCAACAACTCGCTGGGGGTGTAGAAGAAGTGGGCTCTGCCTCCTCCTCCTTCCTGTCTGACCAGCACATTCCCTACACACTAACCTCGTCCTGCCCCAGGCTGTCCGTGGAACTAGACCGGGCCCCGAGGTTTCCTGGAGAAGAATAAAAAGCAGATCTGTTTATTAACTTTTCCCAATGGGAGCCCCTCCCAAACACAAGGCTGCGTTCTGCCCCCGCCCCGGCAGCCCGCCGCTCACAAGCGCCATCTGCAGGAGGAGTTCGGGTCCCTCGTTCCCGCGTGGCGGCGCGGGGGAGCCCTGAGTCACGCAGGAGCCCCGCAGCGTGCGAACACCTGGAGCCAATGCCCACTGCAAGCTGTGATTTCGTTTCAGCAAAACACCAGCTGTCACCCGGCGCGGAGGCCTGGCGCTCACACGGAGCCAGGCACACAGGGAGGCCCAGGGCTCTGGCTCTTACCCGGGACTCCCTGTCTGTGCGAAGCCCCTGACCAACCTCGCCCGGGCGCACTTTACAGGGGAGAGGAATTCTCCACTCCGCTTGGGGGTTGATGAAACCAGGACCGAGCGAGAGGAGGCGAGCTGCCCACAGGCAGAGAGCGGGTTTGGGGAGAATCCGGAAGCCCAGTCCGAACTGACCGCCTGGCCCTCCTGCCTCCTGCCGCCCGAGCCAGCGCCGGAGCGCAGCATGGGGGCCCGGCTTCCACACTGCAGGCTCAAGGCTCCGGGCACACCCTGCTGGCCGCCGAGCCCGCCCCGGCCCCGCACCCCCCACCGGGCAGCGTGATTGTCCTCACCTGGGGAGGGCTCCGTCCTTCACGCTTGATTGCTTGCTGTTCCTTTCTGTTCCAAGTGGCCACTTCAGGGAGCGGAAATCAGGGCCTCGGCCAAGCAGCCCCGGGAGGCTCCCCGCTCCACGCCTGCGTCATCAGCAAGCCAGCGCTCCGCTCCGGAACAGCCGCATCCACGCTGTGTGCCTTGTCCTGTGCACCCGCAGGGCAGAGCTGGCGCCGGCGCTCACCTGGGCCCTCCCGCCTGGCCTGGGCTTCCTTCCATGGGAAGAACCCGGGACGCTGGTGGCTGTCAGGCGGCTGCGTAGAGTGGCAGGGCCGTGGTCCCCAAGCCGCTGGGGTGGAGGAGTGGGGGCAGGGACAGGAGGGCCTGAGAGCTGAGAGTCGGCCTGGCCTCTGGCTGGCTGACCCGCGCATCCCATCCCTTGTCCGGCCCACAGAGAGGGTCACTGACAACAGGGTGGCAAACTCACAGGCCTTGGGGCTGGGCGGGTACACGTGGCAGGCACACCAGACCTTGTCCCACCAGAGGCCGCACAGCTGCTGGGTCGTCTCTTCCGGCTTCAGAGGCTGGAGTCAGCGGTGAGAACCCAACAAGGCTGGAGCCACACAGAACTTACAAATTCAAGCTCATCAGACCACGGGTGCCGTGGGCTAGGCCCCGCCGTGGGGACACCA